TTTGACAGATGTTGTGAGGCTGTATACTAGGGTGATTGACAGGTGTTGTGGGGCTGTATACTAGGGTGTTAGACAGATGTTGTGGGGCAGTATACTAGGGTGTTTGACAGGTGTTGTGGGGCTGTATACTAGGGTGTATGACAGGTGTTGTTGGACTGTATACTAGGGTAATTGACAGGTGTTGTGGGGCTATATACTAGGGTGTTTGACAGGTGTTGTTGGACTGTATACTAGGGTGATTGACAGGTGTTGTGGGGCTGTATACTAGGGTGATTGACAGGTGTTGTGGGGCTGTATACTAGGGTGTTAGACAGATGTTGTGGGGCAGTATACTAGGGTGATTGACAGGTGTTGTGAGGCTGTATACTAGGGTGATTGACAGGTGTTGTGAGGCTGTATACTAGGGTGATTGACAGATGTTGTGGGGCTGTATACTAGGGTGTTTGACAGGTGTTGTGGGGCTGTATACTAGGGTGTTTGACAGGTGTTGTGGGGCTCTATACTAGGGTGTTTGACAGGTGTTGTGGGGCTGTATACTAGGGTGTTTGACAGGTATTGTGGGGCTGTATACTAGGGTGTTTGACAGGTGTTGTGGGGCCGTATACTTGGGTGTTTGACAGGTGTTGTTGGACTGTATACTAGGGTGATTGACAGGTGTTGTGGGGCTGTATACTAGGGTGATTGAGAGGTGTTGTGGGCTGTATACTAGGGTGTTTGACAGGTGTTGTTGGACTGTATACTAGGGTGATTGACAGGTGTTGTGGGGCTGTATACTAGTGTGTTAGACAGGTGTTGTGGGGCTGTATACTAGTGTGTTAGACAGGTGTTGTGGGGCTGTATACTAGTGTGTTAGACAGGTGTTGTGGGGCTGTATACTAGTGTGTTAGACAGGTGTTGTGGGTCTGTATACTAGGGTGTTTGACAGATGTTGTGGGGCAGTATACTAGGGTGTTTGACAGGTGTTGTGGGGCTGAATACTAAGGTGTTTGACAGGTGTTGTTGCACTGTATACTAGGGTGATTGACAGGTGTTGTGGGGCTGTATACTAGGGTGTTTGACAGGTGTTGTTGGACTGTATACTAGGGTGATTGACAGGTGTTGTGGGGCTGTATAATAGGGTGTTAGACAGGTGTTGTGGGGCTGTATACTAGTGTGTTAGACAGGTGTTGTGGGGCTGTATACTAGTGTGTTAGACAGGTGTTGTGGGGCTGTATACTAGGGTGTATGACAGGTGTTGTTGGACTGTATACTAGGGTAATTGACAGGTGTTGTGGGGCTATATACTAGGGTGTTTGACAGGTGTTGTTGGACTGTATACTAGGGTGATTGACAGGTGTTGTGGGGCTGTATACTAGGGTGATTGACAGGTGTTGTGGGGCTGTATACTAGGGTGTTAGACAGATGTTGTGGGGCAGTATACTAGGGTGATTGACAGGTGTTGTGAGGCTGTATACTAGGGTGATTGACAGGTGTTGTGAGGCTGTATACTAGGGTGATTGACAGATGTTGTGGGGCTGTATACTAGGGTGTTTGACAGGTGTTGTGGGGCTGTATACTAGGGTGTTTGACAGGTGTTGTGGGGCTCTATACTAGGGTGTTTGACAGGTGTTGTGGGGCTGTATACTAGGGTGTTTGACAGGTGTTCTGGGGCTGTATACTAGGGTGTTTGACAGGTGTTGTGGGGCCGTATACTAGGGTGTTTGACAGGTGTTGTTGGACTGTATACTAGGGTGATTGACAGGTGTTGTGGGGCTGTATACTAGGGTGATTGAGAGGTGTTGTGGGCTGTATACTAGGGTGTTTGACAGATGTTGTTGGACTGTATACTAGGGTGATTGACAGGTGTTGTGGGGCTGTATACTAGTGTGTTAGACAGGTGTTGTGGGGCTGTATACTAGTGTGTTAGACAGGTGTTGTGGGGCTGTATATTAGTGTGTTAGACAGGTGTTGTGGGGTTGTATACTAGTGTGTTAGACAGGTGTTGTGGGTCTGTATACTAGGGTGTTTGACAGATGTTGTGGGGCAGTATACTAGGGTGTTTGACAGGTGTTGTGGGGCTGAATACTAGGGTGTTTGACAGGTGTTGTTGGACTGTATACTAGGGTGATTGACAGGTGTTGTGGGGCTGTATACTAGGGTGTTTGACAGGTGTTGTTGGACTGTATACTAGGGTGATTGACAGGTGTTGTGGGGCTGTATACTAGTGTGTTAGACAGGTGTTGTGGGGCTGTATACTAGTGTGTTAGACAGGTGTTGTGGGGCTGTATACTAGTGTGTTAGACAGGTGTTGTGAGGCTGTATACTAGGGTGTTAGACAGGTGTTGTGGGGCTGAATACTAGGGTGTTTGACAGGTGTTGTGAGGCTGTATACTAGGGTGATTGACAGGTGTTGTGGGGCTGTATACTAGGGTGTTAGACAGATGTTGTGGGGCAGTATACTAGGGTGTTTGACAGGTATTGTGGGGCTGTATACTAAGGTGTATGACAGGTGTTGTTGGACTGTATACTAGGGTAATTGACAGGTGTTGTGGGGCTATATACTAGGGTGTTTGACAGGTGTTGTTGGACTGTATACTAGGGTGATTGACAGGTGTTGTGGGGCTGTATACTAGGGTGATTGACAGGTGTTGTGGGGCTGTATACTAGGGTGTTAGACAGATGTTGTGGGGCAGTATACTAGGGTGATTGACAGGTGTTGTGAGGCTGTATACTAGGGTGATTGACAGGTGTTGTGAGGCTGTATACTAGGGTGATTGACAGATGTTGTGAGGCTGTATACTAGGGTGTTTGACAGGTGTTGTGGGGCTGTATACTAGGGTGTTTGACAGGTGTTGTGGGGCTCTATACTAGGGTGTTTGACAGGTGTTGTGGGGCTGTATACTAGGGTGTTTGACAGGTGTTGTGGGGCTGTATACTAGGGTGTTTGACAGGTGTTGTGGGGCCGTATACTAGGGTGTTTGACAGGTGTTGTTGGAGTGTATACTTGGGTGATTGACAGGTGTTGTGGGGCTGTATACTAGGGTGTTAGACAGGTGTTGTGATGCTTTATACTAGGGTGTTAGACAGGTGTTGTGGGACTGTATACTAGGGTGTTAGACAGGTGTTGTGGGGCAGTATACTAGGGTGTTAGACAGGTGTTTTGAGGCTGTATACTAGGGTGTTTGACAGGTGTTGTGGGGCTGTGTACTAGGGAGTTAGACAGGTGTTGTGGGGCTGTATACTAGTGTGTTAGACAGGTGTTGTGGGGCTGTATACTAGGGTGTTAGACAGGTGTTGTGAGGCTGTATACTAGGGTGTTAGACAGGTGTTGTAGGGCTGTATACTAGGGTGTTAGACAGGTGTTGTGAGGCTGTATACTAGGGTGTTAGACAGGTGTTGTAGGGCTGTATACTAGGGTGTTAGACAGGTGTTGTAGGGCTGTATACTAGGGTGTTAGACAGGTGTTGTAGGGCTGTATACTAGGGTGTTAGACAGGTATTGTGGGGCTGTATACTAGTGTGTTAGACAGGTGTTGTAGGGCTGTATACTAGGGTGTTTGACAGGTGTTGTGGGGCTGTATAGTAAGGTGTTAGACAGGTATTGTGGGGCAGTATACTAAGGTGTTAGACAGGTGTTGTGGGGCTGTATACTAGAGTGTTAGACAGGTGTTGTGGGGTTTTATACTAGGGTGTTAGACAGGTGTTGTAGGGCTGTATACTAAGGTGTTAGACAGGTGTTGTGGGGCTGTATACTAGAGTGTTAGACAGGTGTTGTGGGGCTGTATACTAGGGTGTTTGACAGGTGTTGTTGGACTGTATACTAGTGTGTTAGAGAGGTGTTGTGGGGCTGTATACTAGTGTGTTAGAGAGGTGTTGTGGGGCTGTATACTAGTGTGTTAGACAGGTGTTGTGAGACTGTATACTAGGGTGTTAGACAGGTGTTGTGGGGCTGTATACTAGGGTGTTTGACAGGTGTTGTGAGGCTGTATACTAAGGTGATTGACAGGTGTTGTGGGGCTGTATACTAGGGTGTTAGACAGATGTTGTGGGGCTGTATACTAAGGTGTTAGACAGGTGTTGTGGGGCTGTATACTAGAGTGTTAGACAGGTGTTGTGGGACAGTATACTAAGGTGTTAGACAGGTGTTGTGGGGCTGTATACTAGGGTGTTAGACAGGTGTTGTTGGGCTGTATACTAAGGTGTTAGGCAGGTGTTGTGGGGCTGTGTACTAGGGTGTTAGACAGGTGTTGTGGGGCTGTATACTAAAGTGTTAGACAGGTGTTGTGGGACAGTATACTAGGGTGTTAGACAAGTGTTGTGGGACAGTATACTAGGGTGTTTCAAAGGGCAGCTGCAAGCAACAGCCTGTTGGACCAAGTTATCAGAATGCAGGCGAGGAGTCACAATAACGTGGCTGAAGAATGTTGACCAGACCACACACTAGAAGGTGAAGGGCCGACGACGTTTCGGTTCGTCCTGGACCGAAACGTCGTCGACTTCGGCTGGACTTCTGGTTATCAGAAGTCCAGCCTGGCCTCAGGCCGGGCTCGGAGAGTAGAAGAACTCACGAGACCCTGTGCAGGTAAGCTCCAGGTAAGTGTTGTCGGGCAGCATCCTGTGGAGACTCAGTAGGTTGACCTGGGGTGGACCTCGATACGAACCTCAGGTATATATACACAGGCTTCATGTCACCCAAAAAACGAAAAACTTATTGAATGAAACTCACTAATTATTAATGTCTCTTATGTTAAATTGTCCATATGTTAAATTATATTCTTGAAATGCTATGCTTGCCTACCTTATCTGTTAAAATAATTTAATATTAAATTTTGTATAACAAATGTTGAACATTAATTAACTATTAACACCCGCATTGAACACTGTGAAGTGTGCACACAGAAATCACAATAGCGTGATGCATCATATGAACAAATCCACAAGGGCCGTTATGAGGATTCGAACCTACGCCGGAGAGGATCCCAGACGCTGCCTCAATCAACTGTGTCGATTAAGTCGATTAAGGTGCGTCTGGGATCCTCTCGGACGTAAATTCGAGCCTTCATCACGGCTCTTGTGGATTTGTTCATGATGAAGTGTATTATAGCTTGGGTAGTGTTGATGGTGACTGGGGTGTGTTCCCGCAGTACCTGACCAAGAGCTACAGCACCGACGACCACACCCGCTGGCTCCTCGACAACACCAGGATACACATCATGCCCTCAATGAACCCCGACGGCTTCGAGGTGGCCAAGGAGGGCGTCTGTCGCGGAGGACAGGGCAGGTGAGTTGTGGCCAGGCTGCCCACGGCTTGGGGCGGGAGGGAGCAAGGGTAGGAAGGTAAGGTGGAAGGGGAGGAAGGGAAGAAGCAGGGGGAGGGAGGGAAGGAGCAAGGGGAGGGAGGGAAGGAGCAAGAGGAGGGAGAGAGGGAAGGAGCAAGGGGAGGGAGGGAAGGAGCAAGGGGAGGGAGGGAAGGAGCATGGGGAGGGAGGGAAGGAGCAAGGGGAGGGAGAGAGGGAAGGAGCAAGGAGAGGAAGGGAAGGAGGGCAAGGGGAGGGAGGGAAGGAGCAAGGGGAGGGAGGGAAGGAGCATGGGGAAGGAGGGAAGGAGCAAGGGGAGGGAGGGAAGGAGCAAGAGGAGGGAGAGAGGGAAGGAGCAAGGGGAGGGAGGGAAGGAGCAAGGGGAGGGAGGGAAGGAGCATGGGGAGGGAGGGAAGGAGCAAGGGGAGGGAGAGAGGGAAGGAGCAAGGAGAGGAAGGGAAGGAGGGCAAGGGGAGGGAGGGAAGGAGCAAGGGGAGGGAGGGAAGGAGCAAGGGGAGGGAGGGAAGGAGCAAGGGGAGGGAGGGAAGGAGCAAGGGGAGGGAGGGAAGGAGCAAGGGAGGAAGGAACAATTAATGAGCTAATGAACAAATAAGTAAGAAAGGGGAGGAAAGAGCAAAATAGAGAGAAACGAAGAAAAATAATAGATTAGCGGGATTAATAATAGGGAACTCAGTAGGTAAGAAAGAGAGAGATAATGAAGAAATAGAGAAGAATATTTCCCGGATGGGTACATAGCCATGATAAACAATGGGGTGAAAATGAAGTATTAACAATAAGAGTAATGGTCACCTGCCTCCCCCGCCTCCTCCCGGCGCCCATCACCCTCAGGTACAACTCCCGAGGCTTCGATCTCAACCGCAACTTCCCCGACTACTTCAAGCAGAACACCAAGCGGAACCAGCCGGAGACGGAGGCGGTGAAGCAGTGGGTCTCCAAGATACAGTTCGTGCTGTCGGCCAACTTGCACGGCGGGGCCCTCGTCGCCTCCTACCCCTTCGACAACTCCCCCAACACCAGTGAGTCCCACTGCACGCTCCTAATCTTTTCCTTCCACAAAATGTGAATAATACGAAGGGAATTCTGATAACTTGTATTCTGTGAGAGGGGAAAATAAACGGAAGCAGAGGACACAACTGAGGGGAAAATGTACATTACATTATGTAAACCATATTAATGAAACTTATCCGGTTATTGATAACTTGATCCGGTTATTGAAAATTTGCTGTACTTATAGAAGGTTTGGTGAGAAGGAGTATCGTCTTCTCCAGTAATTGGGGATAGTACATATAATATATGTGAGTAATATGAGTCCATTGTGTATGATATTATAATGTTTATGATCAGTCACAAACTCAAAACTTGAGTTTTGAGTTTGTGACTGATCATAAAAATAAAATTTGGGGCAACACGTGAAAATAGCCTCGGCTACCATCATCTTTTGAACGGTCGTGATGGTCGAGTGGTTAAGGTGTCCTGTACACCAGTTGCATAGTGCTCCTGGCAGTATGGGTTCGAGTCACTTCTGGGGTGTGAGTTTTCGGTTGCATATATGCCTGGGGACCATTCAGGCTTGTTCGCATTTGTGTTTCTCATATGTTGCCCCAAAGAATGAGGTGATTTGATAAAATACTATGCCCAAGATTAACATCAGAGCGCCGTCGGGATGATGGGGTAAATAGCCTTGGCTACCATCATCTTTTGAACGGTCGTGATGTTCGAGTGGTTAAGGTGTCCTGTACACCAGCTGCATAGTGCTCCTGGCAGTATGGGTTCGAGTCACTTCTGGGGTGTGAGTTTTCGGTTATGTATATATATATATATATATATATATATATATATATATATATATATATATATATATATGTATATATATATATATATATATATATATATATATATATATATATATATATATATATATATATATATATATATATTATATATATATATAAAATTAATAAGGAAAGGCGTACCACCTCTGGTTGGAAGAAGGGGGACCCTTAGCCTCGGAGGAAAGCACACATAACGCATTAGAGGGAATGTTTCGGTCCTCTCCAATACAGTTTCTGTGTGCTTTTCTCCTACCACCCCCTTCCCTTTGTGTGTTTTGTACTTTATTGGATATTTAAAGGTTACAAGATGAACATTGGTTAATACAAAAAGTGCTAAAAGGTTATGGATGTCTTGAAGCTCCTCCGCTTCCGGACAGGAACCGAGGATGCAGCAGGCATTTCCCCTCTGGATCGCCACACTGAGGAGCTGAAACAAAAAATTGACAGCCCTTGGGTCTCTGGTGACATCAGTGAACCTGGAGCCCAATTCCTTGAGAAATTTCAAGGCACTGCTACCCCAGGGGCCATGCGTCTCAGATGCTATGGGAACAAAGGTGTATTGACCTTCCAGTCGCCTGTACTTGAGTGATTTTGCTGTTTCCCTGTGGTTGGCCGCCCCACCTGCTTGGTCAGCACCAAAGTGTAAATAGGTGTCAGCTAGGGTGGATACACATGTGTAGTCCCACACAAACTGTTTGCCCCTTTTCCAGGGATATATTGTAATGCCATCAGGGCGAAGTGCTGGTTTATCCGGGTTTTGGTTCCCTAGGATGGGAGGTTCTCTCTCCGCTGGGCACTGAGCTGAGACGAGGCTCCTCTTGATGATGTCGTTGACCTTGATGTGTCTTGCATGCCAGCCCTTTGTGCTTCCGCAATGCAACCCATGCAGTCCATATTGGTTTGCTTCCACCCTGTTGCAAATACACTTGTATTCAATGTGAATTGGGGCCCCAAGGCGGAGGGCCACCGCGACACGAAGGGATTCTGGATCTAGACGCAGTGCCTATTCCAGTCAAGTCCATACATTGGACTTGATCGTACGTGCGGTGGGACTTGAAAAATTTTCCCCAGTTTTTAGAACCTTAATATCAATTTGGTGTTCACTAATAGTACGATCAAGTCCAATTTAATAAAAAAACTCCCCTGATACAGCAGGTTGTGTGTATTCGATTCCCTGCAATGATTGTGATTCTGTGTACCTTGGACAAACAGGAAAATCCTTACAATTGCGTTTGTCCCAACATGTTTATAGTATAAGAACTGCCCAAACGTCTAGTACTTTCAATCTACACACAAGTTTATGTGATCGCACTATTAACTGGGATGGAGCGAAAAGCGTTACAAATTGCAATGATTTTGTGGAACGGAATTTAATTGAGTCTGCCCTAATCTGTTAGTGTCCAATGGCCAGATTCACGAAGCTGTTACGCAAGCACTAACGAACGTGTACATCTTTGCTCAATCTTTGACGGCTTTGGTTACATTTATTTAACAGTTTACAAGCATGAAAATTTCCCATTCAACTGGAGTTATTATTATAAACAGCCTCCTGGTGCTTAGGAGCTCATTAACTGTTTAATATTTGTAAACAAGGCCGCCAAAGATTAAGAAAAGATGTACAGGTTCTTAAGTATTTGCCTAAGTGCTTTCGTTAATCTGGCCACAAATCTTCTCAATGTTAGTACTGGTATGTACAAACTTGGCCTATTTTTAAGTTACAATATTGCACAGGAGTGTAAGAAAAAACTCTGATAGGGAGGGTTACATTGTCTCATTACAATATTATAATCATATATTATGTGTGTATGTGTTCAATGAGGCTTTTTCTTTCATCTTTTATACATATTCTCTGATCGCTTAATCCTTCTGACCATTCCAAGCTAATCTATACCTGTTTCTTGGTAATTCTTTCCCTGGGGATGGGTGGTCAGGCTTCAGTTGTTGACCTCCACCCTTCCTTTGTTTTCTCTTAGTCAGTCTGGTGTTGACAACGGCTTTGATCGGCTGAAACGTTATCTCCCTTTCCCATTTCTCTGCGGATTTTCCGCATATAATATATAAATATATATATATATATATATATATATATATATATATATATATATATATATATATATATACATATACATATATGTATATATATATATATATATATATATATATATATATATATATATATATATATATATATATATATATATATATATATATATATATATATATATATATATATATATATATATATATATATATAATATTTATATATAATGTCTTGCCTAATAGCCAGTACTGCACTACTTAGGCTAGTATAAAAGGTTTTGCATATGCAAAAATATGCAACATTCGATTTGCCTAACAGGCTGAATAAATTTCGTTATATTCAAAAATATATCTTTCCAGGTTGGTTCTTTTCTAACAATAATCTGTTATATTAGGAGCATGAATTACTGAATTAATTATGTTAGGTTAGGTTATGTTAGTACGCGATAGGTTAGGTAGGTTAGGTTAGGTTTGAACAAATTTGTATGTTAGTTTTGACTCAAATAGCATAAAATTACAATCTTATATTATACATTGAAAACCTTATAATTACATAAGAACGTTTTTTACAAACATTAAATATTTCACGAAAAATCGGCTTGTTAGGCAACTCTGGCTATTAGATACGACAAGTGTGTGTATGAGTGTAAATATATATAATGTAATATATTTGTCAGCATTTATTCACCCAAAGGCAACAAGCAAGTCTTGTGTTTTGTGTATACATTTGCTTCATTGCGTACTAACACTCCAGAAGGTGTGCGTCATGTACTAACACAGGTCTCTGTATCATCTATAGTCAAGGACTGCAACCTGAAGCCCTTGTGTGCAGGTATTTTCCTTAACCAACCAGTAATTATTGCATTGCCACGTTTACACCTCTAGGTTGGTTGACCTGGCCTCTCCCGCATCACAAAGTTCACCTCCCTAGGTCGCTGTAGAAGACTCGGTTGATATCATCCTTTGTTCTCAGTCCGTGTTCATATCATTTTTGTTCCATAAAGATATTATTTTTGGATGGCAAAAATTTACCTTTGGGCACAATTCTATGTTTTGGTTGACAAGAATAATTTCTTATTCCTGCATGTCCACTGTAGAGAAGCGCTTTGCTAGTCACAGGAACTAGGATATCCAAGACTGAAAGTTGTCTAGGGAGACACATCACTGAGGCATTATGAGACCCTCACTTGTATTAGAAGGCGCCTACCCAGAGCCTTAGCACACTCATAATGAGAACAGAACTTCCAGATGAATCACAAACGTATATTTCGTCACACGGAAAAAAAAAAGAGTCGTTGATCTGGAAGACTTGATAATATAAACACAACAGCAAGACTGGCAAATATTAATGATTAATGCTGGAACACATTTAAATAGTAATGATTATTATTGGAAGCCGGGATAAAGAATGCCAACGGCTTCAAGAACCATCTGGAGGACACCAAACACACAGCTACTTCTGATACATTAGAAGAGGATATAGAGGCTTCGGATATATTGTGACACTATTAAATGAACTAGGAACACCAGAGAGGCGTCATCAGTGAGTTTTTTATCATAAGCCTTGACAAGGTTACCGGATTGGTACATAAACAGCAAGCCGGCCGGTCAAAATGGTCTTTATGAACTGAAAATGTCTTCATTTTATGTTGTGATGGTAGGAGATGAGGCAGTGTTGTGATGGTAGTGTTGTGATGGTAAAAGAGGCAGTGTTGTGATGGTAGGAGAGGCAGTGTTGTGATGGTAGAAGAGGCAGTGTTGTGATGGTAGAGGAGGCAGTGTTGTGATGGTAGAAGAGGCAGTGTTGTGATGGTAGTGTTGTGATGGTAGGAGATGAGGCAGTGTTGTGATGGTAGTGTTGTGATGGTAGGAGATGAGGCAGTGTTGTGATGGTAGTGTTGTGATGGTAGGAGATGAGGCAGTGTTGTGATGGTAGTGTTGTGATGGTAGAAGAGGCAGTGTTGTGATGGTAGAAGAGGCAGTGTTGTGATGGTAGTGTTGTGATGGTAGAAGAGGCAGTGTTGTGATGGTAGGAGAGGCAGTGTTGTGATGGTAGTGTTGTGATGGTAGGAGAGGCAGTGTTGTGATGGTAGGAGAGGCAGTGTTGTGATGGTAGAAGAGGCAGTGTTGTGATGGTAGAAGAGGCAGTGTTGTGATGGTAGTGTTGTGATGGTAGGAGATGAGGCAGTGTTGTGATGGTAGTGCTGTGATGGTAGAAGAGGCAGTGTTGTGATGGTAGAAGAGGCAGTGTTGTGATGGTAGGAGAGGCAGTGTTGTGATGGTAGGAGAGGCAGTGTTGTGATGGTAGGAGATGAGACAGTGTTGTGATGGTAGAAGAGACAGTGTTGTGATGGTAGGAGATGAGGCAGTGTTGTGATGGTAGGAGAAGAGGCAGTGTTGTGGTGGTAGGAGATGAGGCAGTGTTGTGATGGTAGAAGAGACAGTGTTGTGATGGTAGGAGATGAGGCAGTGTTGTGGTGGTAGGAGATGAGGCAGTGTTGTGATGGTAGGAGATGAGGCAGTGTTGTGATGGTAGGAGAAGAGGCAGTGTTGTGATGGTAGGAGATGAGGCAGTGTTGTGATGGTAGGAGATGAGGCAGTGTTGTGATGGTAGGAGATGAGGCAGTGTTGTGATGGTAGGAGATGAGGCAGTGTTGTGATGGTAGGAAATGAGGCAGTGTTGTAATGGTAGGAGATGAGGCAGTGTTGTGATGGTAGGAGATGAGGCAGTGTTGTGCTGGTAGGAGAAGAGGCAGTGTTGTGATGGTAGGAGATGAGGCAGTGTTGTGATGGTAGAAGAGACAGTGTTGTGATGGTAGGAGATGAGGCAGTGTTGTGATGGTAGAAGAGACAGTGTTGTGGTGGTAGGAGATGAGGCAGTGTTGTGGTGGTAGGAGAAGAGGCAGTGTTGTGATGGTAGGAGATTAGGCAGTGTTGTGATGGTAGGAGATGAGGCAGTGTTGTGGTGGTAGGAGATGAGGCAGTGTTGTGGTGGTAGGAGATGAGGCAGTGTTGTGATGGTAGAAGAGACAGTGTTGTGATGGTAGGAGAAGAGACAGTGTTGTTGTGGTAGGAGAAGAGGCAGTATTGTGATGGTAGGAGATGAGGCAGTGTTGTGATGGTAGGAGATGAGGCAGTGTTGTGGTGGTAGGAGAAGAGGCAGTGTTGTGATGGTAGGAGATGAGGCAGTGTTGTGATGGTAGGAGATGAGGCAGTGTTGTGGTGGTAGGAGAAGAGGCAGTGTTGTGATGGTAGGAGATGAGGCAGTGTTGTGATGGTAGCAGATGAGGCAGTGTTGTGATGGTAGGAGATGAGGCAGTGTTGTGATGGTAGGAGATGAGGCAGTGTTGTGATGGTAGGAGATGAGGCAGTGTTGTGATGGTAGGAGATGAGGCAGTGTTGTGATGGTAGGAGAAGAGGCAGTGTTGTGATGGTAGGAGATGAGGCAGTGTTGTGATGGTAGGAGATGAGGCAGTGTTGTGATGGTAGGAGATGAGGCAGTGTTGTGATGGTAGGAGATGAGGCAGTGTTGTGGTGGTAGGAGAAGAGGCAGTGTTGTGATGGTAGGAGATTAGGCAGTGTTGTGATGGTAGGAGATGAGGCAGTGTTGTGGTGGTAGGAGATGAGGCAGTGTTGTGGTGGTAGGAGATGAGGCAGTGTTGTGATGGTAGAAGAGACAGTGTTGTGATGGTAGGAGAAGAGACAGTGTTGTTGTGGTAGGAGAAGAGGCAGTATTGTGATGGTAGGAGATGAGGCAGTGTTGTGATGGTAGGAGATGAGGCAGTGTTGTAGTGGTAGGAGAAGAGGCAGTGTTGTGATGGTAGGAGATGAGGCAGTGTTGTGATGGTAGGAGATGAGGCAGTGTTGTGGTGGTAGGAGAAGAGGCAGTGTTGTGATGGTAGGAGATGAGGCAGTGTTGTGATGGTAGCAGATGAGGCAGTGTTGTGATGGTAGGAGATGAGGCAGTGTTGTGATGGTAGGAGATGAGGCAGTGTTGTGATGGTAGGAGATGAGGCAGTGTTGTGATGGTAGGAGATGAGGCAGTGTTGTGATGGTAGGAGATGAGGCAGTGTTGTGATGGTAGGAGATGAGGCAGTGTTGTGATGGTAGGAGATGAGGCAGTGTTGTGATGGTAGGAGATGAGGCAGTGTTGTGATGGTAGGAGATGAGGCAGTGTTGTGATGGTAGGAGATGAGGCAGTGTTGTGATGGTAGGAGATGAGGCAGTGTTGTGATGGTAGGAGATGAGGCAGTGTTGTGATGGTAGGAGATGAGGCAGTGTTGTGATGGTAGGAGATGAGGCAGTGTTGTGATGGTAGAAGAGACAGTGTTGTGATGGTAGGAGATGAGGCAGTGTTGTGATGGTAGGAGATGAGGCAGTGTTGTGATGGTAGGAGATGAGGCAGTGTTGTGATGGTAGGAGATGAGACAGTGTTGTGATGGTAGAAGAGACAGTGTTGTGATGGTAGGAGATGAGGCAGTGTTGTCATAATGAGCCATTGTGCCATATTTGGACAAACATTAGGTACTCTGATGTTTTCAGTACTCCTGTCTTCGTTCCCTCTATATCCAGACTCTCTCTCTCTGTATCCCTCTTTCTCTCATTCACTCTCTGGTACTCCCTGGTTAACTCTCTTATTCTCTATTTCTGCTTTTCTTTCCACTTTAGTATGTCTCTATTTCTGTCTATCTTCTGTCCCTGTATGTATCGTTCTGTTTCTCTGTGTCTGCTCCAATATATCTGTTTCGTTCCCTCTCAAATCTGTGTCTCTTTCTCGTTTCTTCTCCTCTCTCTCTCTCTCTCTCTCTCTCTCTCTCTCTCTCTCTCTCTCTCTCTCTCTCTCTCTCTCTCTCTCTCTCTCTCTCTCTCTCTCTTTCTCTATCTCTCCCTCTCTCTTCCCCCCACCCTGTCTCCCAGTTCGCATTCAGTTCCCATTAACATAATTCATGAGGTTGACAGCGAATGGGGACATTATTTAACAGAAATACAGTATTTATATTTCAGAGGTGACTGTAGCCCGACATGTTGACCAGCTCAGCGCTAACGCATTAAAGACAGCTCATCCCGACAATGTAAAACTTACTTGATTACAGATATTTATATTTGAGAGGCTGATACCTGACCTGAAGCCGTCAGAAAAGCTTCACCCTTATATACATCTGCATTAAGTGGTGCAGATTGTCTTCGTATACGCTGTATACTGTATACGAAGTTGTATTTATTTCATGCGAGTAAATTTAAACTATTATCAGCCTTTGCCAATGTTGGTCTGTTGAAAGAGAGTGTCTCACGAATTTCCAGCCCTGGACTGGACTCAGCTCCTGAGTATCTTAAACGCAACTCAAGGCAAGGATGGTAGGGAGGAGGTCGATTATAGGAGCGGTGAGTTGGCTCTTTGTTGACATTTGTGAGATATGCTGCTTTGTTATTGGCCAGGCGTGTGATGACGTCATGCTTCCATGTTGCTTCCCGGGCAGGGGTTTGAAGAGTGTCTTGCATCTGCCACTGATGGAATGGAGCACATCTTAATTAACGTGATGCCTCATAGGTCCCACAGCGAGGGTCTGGTGACCTTTGATTTAATTAGACTGCTTGCCAAAATTAGCGAGATGTTGCCTTGATATGTGCCAAAGGGTATTTGAGAGCAGTTAATGTGTCAGCTGCCTCGCTGGTGCCTCAATGTTATCTTTACTAACTAAAGCGAACACTTTAAAACATAAACCATCGAGTTTAAAAAACAGAACCTCCACGTTAATTCACAAAACTCTGAACAATGCCAACTCCTTCGGTCTAAATATACGATATAATACATCTCTAAATATTGAGACAGAG